GCTTAAAAGCCTGAATTTTGCCTGAAACTCTCAGACTGAAGAAGTCTCTTGGAGGAGAGACGAAACGTTTCATTAGAGAAGAACCCGTCCAGAAGACCTACAATTTTTTTTCTTTTTGACAAAATCACGAGACAAACTAAGACATATTTGGGGTTAAAGGTTGCTTTGTAGATGTGACAAGTAAAATTGAAGCAAAAACAATGCAAATTCAAAATAATTTTGGCTGAAATGTAAGCTTAATTGGAAAATAAGGTATTTCCATTAACTCACTCATGTCTGTGAGCTCTATCTGACACAAGCACACAAGCTGCCTGTTTATATGACTGTCATATATTTCTGTGCTCTTATAACAAAAAATTACATATTTTATATGCTAAATTTTATTAAACCCTTCATTAACTACTCTAAAAAGAAACTTAACAGATAACACGAACTTTTAAATTATTATTACGGAAATTGTTTACAGGCATATCCTTGGACAGCTTGATGCTCAGAGGCCCTACCAGTTGTAGGCGCAGTTTCAAGCAAGGTGCAAAACACAAATCGATTGTTTATTTTGTGTTTGTTTACATTCTTCTAACCGTAGTAATGGCTTCTACTCTAATTTCACCCATGGTGGACTATTATAACGACGAAGAAGAGCTGGACAGTGTAGACGACGACGATGATCGCAGTTTTCGGGGAAGAGACTCGGAAGAAGGTAACGTTAAATCAATCCGCGAAAACCTCAGACCGTCGGGCTCTGTCTACTTGCTGGAAAAGAAACGGAAATTCGCGGTTATTGCAAAAAAAATGTAGCTGTTTATGTTTTAAGAGAAATATATTTCTGAGCTACTTTTAGGTATGCTGAGTCAGAACGAGCATGTTTTTGTTAAAAAAAAACTAAAGTGTTTCGTTCCGAAGCTGCAGAGCAGTTTGACACATGAAGTTAGCATAGGCTACATGGGTTAGCTACAAGGCTACCACCCGTAAAAACACACATTTTGAAGCAAACAAGAAGTTGATGAGCCACAAGCTAACACTATAGCTCTAATAGGTGTTTATGCTAACCCATAAGCATCTCTTTTTCACGTCGATGGTACCCAGCAGGAAAGCTAATTTCCTAATTTGTTTTGAGATTAAAAATCAATATATTGTGGGTAAAACCTACTAAAAGTTTGAAATGAGGTAAAATGCTGTTTGTATTTTAAAATTGCAGAAGTTTGTCGTTCACGAGACATGCTTACGCTGCCTCTCCTTCAGACCTGTCGTCACTCGGGATTTAACTGGTCATTCAGTTTTTTTTTCTTCCTCACGGTGAGCACACCTTTAATTAGCTAGCTACGTAACGTTAGCTCCGAGCGTTGACAGGTTGTCCACTCCTCTGCCCTTTTCGCTCTCATCAGTCAAACCGGACGGCTAGCAGCGAAACGGGAAGAGAGACGAGAAGAAACCAAGTCAATGGCAGCACCACAAGGTTAGCTAGTTTCCTGACACCGACTGTCAGGCGAAAAGCTAAAGTTATTTTTTCCCTCATAAAGGGTTTACGCTCCTGTCAGCTGGGATCGCGTTTTTTTTTAAACAAACGACAGAGCTAAGTTCAGCTAGCACGTTACGGCTAACTGAAAATGAAAGCGGCAGTGTCAGCTTTAACTGGGCCTTTATTTCTCGTGGTTTCTTTTTGGTTTTGAAGGGAAAGCGGACGGATCTGAGTCAGCCGATGCTTGTGAACTTCATTTCCGCGTGTGTCACGTCGGTTAGCCTCCATGAAACATGCTAGCGTCGCTTTGATAGAGTTGACAGCTAAAGAACTGCTGATTAATCACACCATGCGGCAACATTCACAACAGGCAGCTGCGTTATTGAGCGTCGTGTCTTTTTTCCCCTCTTTTTTTTTTATTAAACTTACTCTAACTGGACATGTCCACTTCATTGTTCAGCCGAACTTTTTTTCTTCTCGTCAGTCATCAAATGTGGGTTTCTGTGATCTCCCTCTAAACCCGGGGGCATCCCAAGAAGGGTGTTCACCATTACCTCACTAGTGCCACGCACGTCCTATTATCTGCGTGCAGTGGACCTGTTCTGTTTGTAGGAGATAAATCTAATGGAAGTTTTGAAAACTCCTCTGGTTTTGCTTCTTGCAGACACTGAAGATGCCAGTGAGACAGATCTTGCCAAACATGATGAGGATGATTATGTGGAAATTAAGGAACAGTAAGATGTCTATTATTTTTCCCTCATTAAAACAAATCATTCAGCTTTCTTATTAAATGTTTGTTTTTTGACTTTTTTGTTTGTTTGTTTTCAGAATGTACCAAGATAAACTCGCCTCCCTGAAAAGACAGCTGCAACAGTTACAAGAAGGTGAAACTTATTTCCTTTTTTTAAATTTTGTTTTTATTCAGGGTTCCTGCAGATCCTTAAAAAGTCTTAAAAGGCATTGAATTCATCAATCTAAAAATAAGGCCTTAATTAGCCTTAAAATGTCTTAAATCAATCTCTCACAAGTTTAAAAATGTTAATACATTGTAAATACAATGATTGTAATTTGTTTCAAATACTAAAATAATTGGTAACAATTTTTTTTCAAATATTCACATGCAGACAGTCCCCTTTGACATCACTTCCTGTTATTTCACATGCAAATATCTCAACAACTCTCCGCCTGAGCAACGTGAAATTCATTTTGTAATATGTTAATAATGTTGTCTTTCCAAAAATGCGTTCACTTTTCATACAAAGACTTGATGTCACGGGCACTTCAAGATTTCATCTACAGCAAATGGGGGTTAAGACCCCACGGTGGGTCCTAAAACTCCAAATTTTGGGTCATTAAACTGACTGCTATGAATGTTTTTGCTATGTTTGATGAAAAAGTAGTAAGATATGGATAAAAACAATTATCCATATATTAGGGCTGGGCGATATGGCCCAAAAAAAAATCTCCCGTTTTTTTTTTTTCATCCCAAATTCGATTTTCGATTTTAATCGATTTTGCTTCCCACTTAATGGAGTATCTCTGTTTCAGGTGTCAAAACTAATTTGTTATACTCCTGCTTTTTGTAGCAAGAGTCTTTAAACAGATTTAGCAGTGAGTTGTTTGTTGCTCCAAGTCTGAGGTTGCAAAACCTAACCAGTTCCAGAAAATAGTAGAAACAGTGCCTTTTTTTTTTTGGAGAAATAAATCCTCTTTGCTAGCTGACGTATTGTCATGTTATGTACCAAGCGTCTAGAGAGACAGGTGGGATGACCTCTGAACTACAGAAGCCCCAGAGTGCACTGGTGGGAAAAAAAATCTCGATTTTCCAAAAGTTAAATCTTTATAAATGGAAAATTCGAATTAATCGATTTATCGCCCAGCCCTACCATATATACATGTCTATTAGCAATATTTGAATACTTCAATCAAAAATACATGAGTTTCTGCTACTGTTTTACTTTTATTTTTGTCATTTTTGTGTTTATTGTGAAATTGTCTTAAATTTAATTTCAGTTGGCATTAAAAACCCTGGTAGGAACCCTGTTATTCAAGAACTCCCCAAACATCAGTAACGTGTGCACTTTATTTAGCTTGAAAGATCTGTATAAAAGTGGGGGTTTGGAAATGCATCATTTGCCTACAAATGTAGTTTAAATGTTCTATCATCCTTACTAACTAAAAAGAGAAACCAGCAGCTCTTTCTAAACACATATTTTAAAAAATTGTATACATAGCCTTCTTTATTTATACTTTTTTTATAGTGCCTGATATGATATAAAATAAAACATTCATTGTGTATTTTGGTTGTTTCCAGGAAATGTTTTGCAACTTTTATTTTTGATTTTGCTCGTTGTGTTTAAAGACTACATTCTTCATTGCACACAGACTGTTAAGTCCTTTCTGTCTCCTTGCAGGTACGCTGCAAGAGTATCAGAAGAGGATGAAGAAGTTGGACCAGCAGTACAAAGAGAGACTTCGAAATGCAGGTAACATTACTGAACCGGTGCTTTAGTTTGGTTTGTTTTGGCAGGAAAATAACATTAAAAATATAAAAAAATCAAATGTTGTCTGAAAAAGAGAACAATAAAAATAAATATTGTGTGTTCAAATAAACTTATAATTTCACAGAAATGTTGCTTTGGTGGTTTTAGACTTTTCTGAAAAATATTTTATTTGTAAATTAGTTTGTAAATTTCTTTCTTTTAAATATATTTTTTTAAAT